AACTAATACACTATCAGAGTTTTATATATTTATACTTCTCATTCAACCACAGTTAAATTCACTCTATCTAGGAGGCTCAGTTTATATGGATAGTTTTTATTTTTTACAACAACAAGCTGCAATGAAAACAAGCAGAAATGAAATAAAAGTAACGACTTTCTACTTCTTGTCTTTTTTAAAAATGTAAGAAGGAAAAAGTAGGCTGAAAAATAATTACTGAAGTAAAGTACAGAAAGACAAAACTTCTTCAGTACAGCAAAGTATTTGTGTTTCCTTGTTTGCAGCTGGAGTTTTGGACCAGGCTGATGTTTGTAGCAGAACGTCTGACCCTCTGTTGTCCTCCGTATCAGACGGCTGCACAGCTGGTCTCTGACCTCTGGCTGCTGTTTCAGGACGCCTCTCAGGTACCACTGGGTTTACTAACGGGTCAACTGAACCAGCCTCAGGTTCTGCACAGCTCAGACCAGTCCGATCAGTACCAGTCCGATCAGTACCTCCTGTTGTTTCCAGGACCGCGCCTTGCTCAAGCTGCAGCGAAGTTTCCAGAAGAAGTTGGTGGAAGTTCTGGGAGGAGAGCTGCATCCTTCCCTCCTGATGGCACCAGGTCCAAACCATCCGTGTGCTGACGGCGGCCCGGCGGCCTCAGCAGCCAGCGACACGCTGCAGAACCAGAACACTGCATCAGGGTCCAAACTGCTCAATCTGAGGAAGAGGCTGAGAGATTTCCTGGTTCTGAACACAAGTTCTGCAGCCAAGAGAGCAAAGAAGAGCTAAGTGAAGGTCCAACCCCCTGCCTCTGAGCCAGGCAGGAGCCAGACAGGTTGGACTCTTTCCAGAACCACATTATTATTTATTAAATGATCTGTTTTATTGTTCGGTTTAAAAGAATCTGTTACACATGAAATGAAACAGCAGAGCTGCTCATCACAACCTGACACACAACTGACCCTTTAAACATCTGTTACAGGTTTTATATCTGGTTTTCTACATTCTTTTACTTTATTTCATTATTATTGGATGATTTTTACATCCATAAATGACTGATGTGAAACCCCACAGGTCAGCAGACGAATCATTAAAATATCATTTAAAGGTTGATGCAGAGAATCTGATGTAAACTTCATTCAGATCGTATAAAATTTAATCAACATCTGGTCCAGATGTTGAACATTTTTGTTTTTGTGCCAAGTTTATAAAACCAGTTTATTGTTGGTGAACATGTTTACAGCTGCATCATCTCAGTTTAGTTGTTTTGAATGATGTTGTATTTATTGAAGAAACAGCTAAAGGTAAAATATTTTAGCTGTGGTTCGGATTATTTCATTTTCTTTATAGAAACGTTTTGTTAAAATGTCAACAAATGTACAGAAATACTCCGACCTGAAACAGTATTTTTACATTAAAGACAAATCGTTCTGTTTTCTTGTAGTGATAATTGTGTCTAAAGGTTTGCGTGTCGTCTCGCTCCTCTTCCTCTGACTTGTGCTCCTGGATGGAGGTCCTGGAAGGAGGTCCTGGATGGAGGTCCTGGAAGGAAACTAAACCTTTTTATTACCCAGTGACCTCCAGCTGGAGAAACCCAGTGTTCCTGGATCAGAGAGCAGATAATCTGCTGACACAAAGTCCTGGTTCTCCTCCCAGGAGAGGAGAAGCTGCACCTTCACATCCTGCATTAAGGGCCTGGAACACCACAAAAAATAGGAGTTTATGTGGTTTATTTTAAAATGGAAAAATGCATAAAAATACCCCCAAAAGTTTTTTTTTTAATTTGATTGAGACTTTTTTCATTTAAAAATTGATTATATAAACAACTAAAAAAAATACATATCATAAATAAATGAAAGGCAGAAAGAACAAAAACAAATCTTACATCTGCCCCTTTAAAAAAAAGTTCATTTTAAGGTGTTGAAAGTATATATTTAATGATCACAAGATGTTCAGATTGTGGCCACCAGGGGGCAGTGCAGCTCTGCTCTCCATGACCCCTCAAATCAAGTCAACTTTATTTATATAGCTCATTTAAAAACAGCTGCCGTTGGCCGAAGTGTTTCACATGTTGCAACTATTAAAACAAAGCATGACAGACAGAGCACAAATAATGATAAAACCATAAAAACAGACCAAATAAACAGGGAAACAACTCTCAAACTACAGTATGTTAAAAGCTTTGAAAACAGGTGTGTTTTAAGAAGAGATTTAAAAACTCCAAGAGTTGAGGCCTGTCTGATGTGAAGAACAGCTGGTTCCACAGTTCAGGAGCCACGACTGAAAAGGCTGGGTCACCTCTGTGGACCAGTCTGGACTGTGGGACCACCAAGAGCAAATGATCACTGGATCTGAGAGATGTGGAGGCACGTAGGGCTGCAGGAGGTCAGACAGGTGTTCAGCATCAGTCCATTCAGAGCCTTAAAGGTCATCATTAAAAGTTTAAAATCATTTCTAAAACACAGGGAGTCACTGAAGGGACATCTGATCCCTCTGAGCTGCAGGTGAGAGTCCAGCCTGACCAACTCCAGCAAACAGACTCACAATAATCCAGCTGAGATGGAATAAAAGTTTTAATTATTCACACATCAAGGTCTCTGAAAGGTAAAAACCATCTGATTTTACTACAGAATTAATCTGTTTCTCAAATTAAAGTTTGAATCAAAGACCTGATGAAGAGTTTCTCCTCAGAGCTGCAGGACAAACTCTGACCTGATGACTAAAAGTGTCTAAAGTATTCACATTCATTACTGAAGTACAAGTACAGATACTTGGGTTTAAAAAAACTTTTTGGAAGTAAAGTATCAACTTGAGCTTTTTACTCAAGTAAAAGTATAAAAGTACAGGTTTTAAAACTACTTAAAGTATAAAACTAAGAGTAATGAACACTTTAAAAAAGCCATTAAGGATTAAAGCTCAGGCCATTCCACAGGGTTCAGTGGTTCCAAAGGTGGGCTTGAGACCCACAGTGGGGTCCTGAAACATCAAGGTGGGGTCCTGAAAATATTTTTTCAATTAATTACACAAAAAAAGACAACTAAGAACATATTTTCCTTTGTTTTTACAAAATATCAAGATAAGTGTACTTGAAATGGACAAAAATAGCTTAATAAATAATGTT